TAGGAATTCTTATTCTCTACGGGGCATTTAAGCAAACACTTTGCACTCACTTCTTTCCGGGTCTTGCCCTCTCGGATCGAAGACGGGGAAATGAAGAGGATCAAGGCTACCCGGATCTAGCAATCTCTTGCTTAGATCTAGGTTTCCAACACCATCCATAGAGTTGGGCCCCACTCCAAGAACGTTACAAAGAACATCCTCAACAACAAGACATCCATAGTCAACAATCAATCAAACACCACAATCCTACCCACTAGATTTTAGCCAAGCATAATGAAATCTAAATCAATCAAAAGGATAAAAATAGATATGATCAATGAAGCATAAGAGTAGATTTTACCCAAATTGAAGATTAGATTCGTCAACTACAAGCAATTGATGAAGATCCGTTGACAAATGCTTCGAAACTCCAACTCTTCTAGCCAAATCTAGTGAAAATTTGATGTTTGCTAATGTAGATCTAGTTTCCCTCTCTAGAATCCTATTCTAACCATAGAAAACCTCTCTCTAAATCTGAAAAAGCTCTCTAAAAACAATTTTGTGGAACTCCCTTAAAATGAGATCTTTCGGCCTTAAATATTCAGCTTCATTCGGCCGCCCATTCATGCACGGCGTCACACCGTGACACCGGCGTGAATAGGGAATTAACCTCCTCCGCGTTGCGCTTCTCGGCCCCTTTAAACTCCCGTTCATGCTGCCCCTCACAGCGGAAAGACCAGCAGGTTGAGGAGGAGGAGGCACCGCAAAAACCAGGTGCCGATGATGACATCCCCGAGTAGTATGGGCAGGTTATGGACTGGATGACGCTTCACCGTTTCCAGTTTAACCTGCATATTGAGTAGACGACGAGGAATGACGCTCGTTGGGATGCCCTCCAGTCTCAGGCTGACTCTAGATGGGATGTTCTCCAGTCCCGGGTTGACGCTAGATGGGATGACCCTCAGTCCCATGTGGACGCCAGATATGATGTCCTGCAGTCCCATATAGATGCGCGCTTTGACAGTCTTCAGGCTTATGTGGATGATCGTTGCAACACCTATTTCCCTCAACCTCCCCAAGGCCCGAGCAATGATCCTCCGCCTTTTTGATGAGTATTTGTGTGTGTTCTTGAGCTTACTTGGCCTTTGGATTTCTGACACTATGGTTCTTGGATATGTCGGAACATTAGGTACCCTACACGTGGGGTACCGACTTTATATTCCTTTATTTTCTGCATACTTTGATCTAACTACTTTACTTTATTATGTTTTGAACTCTTTTCTTTTAGTATTTTGTTGAACATTGACTATCTTTTAATGCTTTAATTAGTAGTTGAACCCTCCTTTATATCTTTTGATGCTTATCTATCTGAATGAATAGCTCAGGTGCTTGAAACAGAAACAGTAAGGATGTTGTGTCATCCTTACACAATTCTTTTAAAGAGCTGTTTAGATGCTTTATACCATTGCCACTAATGCTTAATTGTCAATATATGTTGTCCATAAACCAGGCTGGGGCAAAGAATCTTAATCCCAAGGTTGAGGAAATCTCGTATACAAAGGGGGTTTCTTCTCCCTAATCTTTTACCTTTCCCCAGTTTTTTTTTTAAAGTGTGGGAAGGTACTTTCCTGTGCTATGCTTTGCTAGACTTATTTTTTTGAGTGCTTTGTTGTCTCTTTAGTCCCATTGTCAATTCCTAAAGTGTGGAAATGGACAACTTCCTTACGCTAGTTTTTTGGGTGTTGATTGAACAATTAGGGCATCCCACACCACACTTCTAAAGTTTGGAAAGGGAAACCTTGTTTCACTTTCCTGCTCTTGTTCACACCCTTGCGCCCACTGTAATGAACATCGGGACGATGTTGTTCTAAAGTGTGGAAAGGGGCGCACCTTTGTGCTTTAATTTTGAAATTTTTTGGCGTACCAATTGTTGAATGTAGAATGTATATATGACTAGAAAAGAATAGAATTGGTCGCATTATTTTGAAAATGTGTTTTATGATGCCTTAGTCAGCTAAATTTTTGGAATATCTTTGAAAATTGCTTCTCTTACACCTTAGGAACTGTATAGAACCCAACTAGGGTTACTTTTGTTGCATGCTTGTTTGATAGTTCACCTCCTATTTTGCTTAGTCCTTGGTAAACGATCCCCCGAAGTGGGAGTGTGCACCTTCCAACCGTAGGAAGATAAGAAGCAAGGTTGGAAATGAATAATCTTTTGGTTAGGTATGGAGCAAAAGGTGAGCCTTGTGGTAAAAATTGAAAAAAACAATCCCAAATGAAAAAGTATGAGTGAAAGAAAAATGGGATTACAAGAGAAAAAGGCAAAGACCAAGAATGGCGGCCCAACGAAAAAAAGAGAGAGAAAAATATATGACTGAAAGAGGGAGCCATTGCTTATTTCGGGACCATAAAAGATTCCCCCGGGCTAAAACATAGAGATCTATGCCGAGGGGAATCGATCTTTGGCATAAGGGTGGAGGCAGGTGAGAACCAGCGCTTAAGTCAGGACCATGAAAGGTCTCCCCGGGTTAAAACACAGAGCTCTGTGCCGGAGGAGACTAGACTTTGGCTTAAGGTTGGTGAGCGGTCCATACCAAACCTCTCACTTACTTTTTGTACAAGACCTTGGCGATATAAGGTTGGATATTGGTTGGATTGTGCACATCGTTCCCACTAGTGTGGCTCGGCTATAGGCCTTTGTAAAATAAGAGGTGAATTCCCCACTTTGGATTGCATGCTTGACTAGTGGTGTATAGAGTGAGTCACCCCATTTGATTAAATGTTTTTACCTTCTTAAGGGCACCATTTTCTTAAATATTGCAAGAATTGTTGACAGGTGCATGATTAACACATTTTTGAAATAATTCAAGGGATTCCATTCTGATAGTAGTCTAGCACTTGTTCTTCAAAAGAAACATGTGGTACACCAAAAGTTTCTGTTTAAACGCATATTTTGAGCTTATCAGTTCTTAATTGTGAAATTGCTTCGGGACACGCAAGCTAAAGTGTGGAAACTTGTGATAAGCCTCAAAATATGCTAAGTTTCCAGTAGTTTTTCCAAGGAGTTTTGCACTAGTTTGACCTAGAAGTCTTGTTTTTAGAGTAAAATATCTTAAAAGTACAACTTAGCAGACAAATACCTTCCCGATTAAATTTTATTTATTTTCAGGTATTTTTGGACAGAAAACGTGCTGAAAAGGCCAAAATAAGCAAAGCCGAGAAATGCGCGCGAACGAGGACCGAACACACCGGGACTACGCACGAGAAGAAGGACGGAATGGGAATTACTTCCCATTCACGCCCCTCCTCACGGCGTGAGGGCCACGTGAACGGGAATTTAAGAAGCCAAATGAAGCTTTAACATGGAGGGCTTATAACTTATTCACGCCGGCCTCACGGCGTGAGGCCATACGTGAATAGGGTGGCGAATATTTAAAGAAAAAAATCAGATTTAGAGAGGGAGTTCTTGACATCTAGGCTTGGAGTTCAACATTTTTTTTCTAGTGAGAGGCTTTAGATTAGGGTTAGATTTTACTTTATCTTTCTAGGATTTTAGTCAAGATCTAGATGTTTTGCAAGGAAGCTTGAAGATTTGGAGAGCTCGTAGCTTGGATCTTCATCTTCTACAAACATTGGAAGGGATCTAGCTTCATGTTGGGTGAAATCTAATCTTTGGTCCTTATTGTTTAAATCTTGTTCATCCATTTCATACTTGCTAGATCTTGCTCTTTATCATGTTTGGCTAAAATTCTAGGGGCTTGGATTGATGTGTAGATTACTTTGCTTGATTTGATTTGCAATTTGTGATTCTTGATTGTTGTTGGTTTATTTGTCTTGTTGGAAGTGAGTTTCGTGTAGACTAGTGTGTGAGGTGTGCAACTCACCCATTAGATCTAGGATGAGTGCATTGGTAAGAGATTGTAATGCACTCTAGCCTTCCCACTTGCATTTATCGTCTTGCGATCTGAGAGGGCCAAGTCCGGAAAGGGATGTAGGCAAGATGTTTGTTATAATGCCTCTTAGAGAATAAGAGTTCCTTCGAGTGGCGTTTAGACCGAATCGGCTACGCATTCGCAGTGCCATTCCTCTTGACTAGAGTTTCAACACGCTTGAATCACTCAACCTTCGGTATGGCTAACCGTGCAATGCAATCGAAGCTCAATGCCAACCCGTTTTCCTTTTCTTTGTTCTACTTTTCTTATTTCTCTTTCACGTTGTTCTCTTATTCTACCTCAACCTGTTAATGCAATCCCTTAGGCCTTAACCAAGGACCTCAAGCTCAAATATCCTTACCATAACACTCTCTCAACACTTCCAAGTTATCACTCATTGAGTACGACACTCGGGGTGGTTCTCACTCCCCCCGTTTTAACTCTTTACATCTCACATCTTTGCACGACCTTATCACATCTAATCTTTTGACCACGCTTCCTAAAAGAGAATCGTAAGCTAAGAGCGTGCGCGTCAATCACTTCTAAGCCTTGGAATTTTACTGATAGGCTCATCTTTCTCCTTTTGAAGTCTAAGACACGGTGTCTTGAATGCTTCAAATGCCTCAGATTTTTCCCTTAAAAAAGACATCCAACAGAAACATGAGTAATCATCAACACATGCAAATATATATTTGAGTAAATACCAGCCAAGGTCCTCCGAGTTTGGTGGTTTCGCCACCTTTAGTCCTAAACTTTCATATTGATCATCCGTGATCCTCCGAGTTTAGAAATCAACCTGCCGTAGTCCTTCCGTTAAGATATCCCGTCTCACCTGTGAATTTAGGGGCAAAATAGTCTTTTTATTGCAACTCTTGCCAAAACTGTTCATTTTATTGCATCCGGGAAAGAGTTGGGCCCTCCGAGAAAGAGTTGGACCCTTCGGAACAACACTGGTCGCGGCGGGAGAAATGGGAGGAAGAAGGTACGAAGAAATTGATTAGAGCTAATTTATGAGGAAAATGAATTGTTTTGGCTGGGGTTGTAATAAAAAGACTATTTTACCCTTAATTTTCACGGATAAGATGGAATATCTTAACGGAAGGACTATGACGGGTCGATTTCGAACCTTGGAGGATCACAAATGATCGATTTGAAAGTTTAGGACTAAAGGTGGCGGAACCACCAAACTCGGAGGACCTTGGCTGACATTTACTCTATATATTTCTTACTACCAATACTCTTTGTTTGAGTCGGACCCATCAGATCTATGTGAACCAGTTCCAGACATCGCTTAGTGGTGATTGACTTTACTGCTTTATGAGGGGCTCTTGTTTGTTTTCCAATAGCACAAGCACCACATATTTCATCATGATCAATTTTTAGCTTTGGTATGCCTCAGATAGCCTCCAATTTGATTAACTTGTCCATATCCTGATAGTTCATATGGCCCAACCATCGATGCTCAAGTTTTGATTCTTCAGATTTGGACCTATGACAAGTAGTATCATTAGATAAAATATAACAATTATAAGATGATCGAGTACCTTCCATAACAACATGGTTTGCTTTATCACTAACCTGTGACATCCCAGTTCTGGTCACACAACTGACTGATACTTATGAGATTTGCTCGTAATCCATTCACTAGTAGAACATCATCTAGATGAGGTAAGCCAGGAACATTCAATGTGCCTTTTTCAATGATCTTGCCTCGTTGACCATCACTGGATGTTACTGATCCACTGCTAGGTTGCATAGGGATTAGATACTTTGAGTTTGTAGTCATATGTTAGGAGCAACCACTGTCAAAGTACTACCTTGTCCCAGTCATTGCAGCAGACATCACAATAGTAGGGGGTAGCACAATACTTCGAACTTTCTGACCCAGACTTGTCTTTTGAAGGGAGTAATATTCTCCATGCGATACTTCTCCTCTCTTTGATCTCTATAAAAGCAGTAAGATTCCGGTCTAGTGTGACCCCTTGTCTGATAGTAATGGCAAGTAGGAACATACTTTCTAGTTCGGATGTATCTTCCTTTATACTTAGAATGTAGGGATTGCTGAACAGATGGAGTAACAATAGCATCAAACGTAGTACCTTTCACGAACACAGGTGCAGAGTCGGATGACTGTCCCCCTTCAAATCCAAGACTAGTTCTACTGTTAGACTTTCTGCTATAATCTAAAATTTTATCCAGAGTTGATGTATTATCCATCATCTTGATGTTTTTCTTCAAGTCTTCCAGTTCCTTTAGTAGCTTTCCTTCTCTAGATCTGATCTGAGCAATAAGATCATCTTTCATAACCAAATCAGCATTCAGTTTCTTCAGCTATTCCTCGCGCTTTCTAAGATCTTCATTCAGATTTTTGTTGACTTTCACCAATTGCTCCTAGCTAGCAACATATTTGGCAAACTCGTGTTCTAACTGAGTATGTCTATCTTCAAAATCATCTAAAGATATGTAGGCTTCATCGTCCTCATCACACTCTGAGTGAGCTTCTGTTGCAGTGAAGAATGCAACAAAATTCCCAGTATTTTCATTAGACACCTGATCTGCGCTTTCCTCTTCGTCATCACTCAAGGTTTAAGCAGACATGAACTTTTTCTTTTTAGGTATGTTGTACATTCTGATTGAATATGACCAAATCCCTCGCATTCACGGCATTGCACTGATCGATTTAGGGTTTTACCTGTACTGTTCGAAGTATTCTTAGATTGTCCTGATCGAGATGATTGACTAGACTTTGTGTTTGAAGATGTCGAACCAGACTTCTGATTGAAGGAGTTTCCTCCCTTGGATTGATTCTGATTAGATTCTCCTTGCCCTCTTCGATTGAATCCCTTCAAGATTTCCTTGATATTCTTCGTGAGTAACGCGAGGGATTCATCATCTATGTCCTCAGTGTTAGATTCTTGATCAGCTTCTGTAATGAAAGCCATTGATTTTCTTTTTTAAACCGAACAACGGTTATCATCTGCTAACACTTGTAATTCATACGCGTGTAGACTACCCATTAGTTCACCAACACTTCTTTTCCCAGCCTGAATTCTCTTGTATTACAGTCACTTTCATGCGAAATCGTTTGGGTAAAAATCGAAGAACTTTCTTAACAACTCTTACTTCAGTAAATGGTTCACCAAGAATAGATGCCCTATTCATCAAGTCCTAGACACGCCTATGAAAATTCGATATGTTTTCATCTTCATTCATTCTTAGAGCTTCAAATTCAGAAAGAATCTTCTATAGCTTCGATTGTTTGACATCATCAGTACCTTCATATCTTGTTAGCAAGATCTCCCAAGCCCGTTTTTCTTCCTTTACCCCCGTAACAAGAGTAAATACTTATTCATGCAGAGATCATACAATGGAATTTAATGCCTTATTGTTGATATCTTATTTGTTTATCTCATCCTCAGTCCAATCTGCCATCGGGTTTCATCGTTGAAGATCCATCAGCATTCTGTATAGTTGGTGGAGTCCAACCAGTGATCAAGGTGTAACACCCCGTGTTACGGCCTTCAATCCCGGATTAATTATTTAATTAATTCTGTTAATAATAATTAAAAGGGATTTAATTTGGCTAGGATTCCCTTTAATTAATAAATGTGGTCCACCATGGATCGTGGACCCTTGCCTAGAGTCTTAAACCTATTAGGAATAAAGAGAGTAAACCTTTTTACTAATCAGATTGTAATTAAGAGTCATAGACCTAACTATCTCTTAGGAATGAAGAAAGTAGGCCTTTACTATTCAGATTATGATTAGGATTCCCTTTAATTAATTAATATGGTCCACCATGGACCATGGACCCTTATCCCTAAACCAAGCCCTTAGCACTATAAGGAATAAAATTAGTAAACCCATACCATTCAGACCCTAATTAGGACTCCTATATATATATATATATATATATATATATATATATATATATATATATATATATATATATATATATATATATATATATATATATATATAAGGACAAAGGAGACACCTAGAAGTCACACCACAATAGATATCACCCACAAGAATTCCCCACCACCAAGCCTAGGGAGGTCAATCGGATGAAAATTTTAGGGAAGAACCTTAATAGCCAAGGGAGGATTAATTAAGGCTAAGAGGTAACCTATGTCTCAACAAAACCTATTTTCCTTGCTATGATCTTCTTCTTTGGCTCCCTCTATATACTTGTGTCTTGATGAATTTCTTTATGATATTTGTGATATAATCTTGATTGATTGACGTGATGATTTTATGAGGGATATTGATGATCTTGATGTTAAAAAGAGGTTCTTGATATTTATGTGATGATTCTTGATAAATCTTGATGGTTCTTGATAATGAAAATAAAATATGATTTTGATGATTTGGGTGGGATTAGAGCCCTAGGTTGGATTGGGAATTGATATTGTGATGTTCTTGATTTATATTTGGGTGGGAATTTTCATGTTTGGGTGTTGTTCGTGTCTAGAAGTCATGTTAGGATGTGTTCAATATGATTCTTGCTCTCGATCCATTAAATACCCATGTGGTGTCGTTAATTGCGTTTAAAAGTGTCTAAGCATGGTTTCGGGTTCCACGAAGGATCCCGGGACGCATATTTGATAAAAGAGTCAGTGGGGGGTAGGTGGGGGTAGGGGTAGCCACCACCTACCCGCTGCCCAAAGTGAGACCGCCAGGCAGCGGGCAGTCGTCTGCCCGCCGGGCACCCGCTGCCCGAAAGCTGTCGCCGGCGGGTGGCCCTCCACCCACCGACTACCCGCTGGTTTGTCACCCACCCCGGGTCTTTGGCTTCCCCGTTTGATGTTCCCCATTCCCCGTGGTGTCCCAACGGACCCTGTTTGTCGTGCTTGAGTCTAGTTTGATGTCTCGGGTACCGTTCGTAGGATAAAAGAGTCTAGGAATTGCATGTTAGTTGAATCGGTAACCCGTTGGCCTAGGTGGAAGTCGTATGAACCCCTTAGGACTATTCTTAGTATGTGAATGATCACACGTAAGCTTATTTATGTGTCTCCCCTTCCCAATGTGCTATTATGTGCTACTATGTGTGATGGGATGCATGATTCCCCAATTTGGTTGCGATCAAATTGGCTATACGGGCAGTTGGATGGGTTGAGAACCATCCCAACTGTTAAACAGGCCGGTTGCGATCGGTCAGGTATATAAATATTATATAGGGCTGCGGTCCATTGATTGGTTACTTATGAGCTGCGGTTCATCCTCCTGGCTGCGGTCAGTGATTCACTTCTTGGGCTGCGGTCCACATGGGCCTCGGTTGCTGTGACCCACCGACCTGGACGCGCCAGGCGGTGTGTAGGGCCCATAAGCCCGACGAAGGCTGTAGTCCACCGACCTGAGTAATCAGGCGGTGTGTAGGGCTACGGCTGGCAGCGATCCACCGAGTGATGGGCCAGCGGTGTGTAGGGTCGTAGTCTCCGAGGATCATCGCCCACCGACTGAGTCCCTCAACGGTGTGTAGGGCCTGATCCGCTACGGTCCACCGACTGCGCTCGTCAACGGTGTGTAGGATCGTAAGTCCCCCCTTGTAAAGTGGATCACGGTCCACCGACTGAGCGTGTCAGCGGTGTGTAGGACTGTGATCCGCCGCTGAGTTCATCAGCGGTCTATAGGGTTGGTTGCGATCAACTCCCTTCATGCTGCGGGGCCGTGTTAGTGCTATATGCACTAACCCTCATGTTCGGGGCATGCGATTGGTCCCGTGGCACCATCACAGTGTGTTTGTGTGACACGAATGATGATTGGGTGATGATATGATTGGTTTGAAAGTGATTTGTGACCTTAGATGCATGTTCTTTATGATGTTGTTTCTATATAACTATTTATCATGATTGTCTGTGCTTACCCCTACTTGCTGAGTCTATCCCTGATTTTAAAGATAGAGTTCCCTAAGTATATATCTTCCTGCTTCAAAATGGTTTTCGTATATATATATATATATATATATATATATATATATATATATATATATATATATATATATATATATATATATATATATATATATATACCTATATTGTATTTCAACGCGTTGGAGTGGGTTACCGGCATCATTCGCTGAACAGATATATTTGGCTTTCAGGGACAGATGAGTAGTCGCCGGAGCGCGCTAGAGATCCGGAGCGCGCTAGAGATCCGGAGCGTAGATTAGTTAGTTTCTCTTTCGGCCTGCGTGCCATGATTATGTATTGACATTTGTATTGAGGATTTTAGTTAGTTAGCCTGTGCATCTGAGTTCTCCAGCTCAGATGTGGCATAGCACCCCGCACTCTTATGTTTGATTTTGTTATTTAATGAGAACTCACCTTTATTATATAAGTCTTAAAAAGTTTAAAAATTTCGGGGTGTTACACCTCGTGTTACGACCTTCAATCCCGGATTAATTATTTAATTAATTCCAGTAATAGTAATTAAAAAGGATTTAATTTGGTTATGATTCCATATAATTAATTAATGTGGTCCACCATGGACCATGGACCCTTTCCTAAACTAGAGTCTTAAGCCTATTGGGAATAAAGAGAGTAAACCTCTTACTAGTTGATTCTAATTAGGAATCCCGGACCTATTTATCTATTAGGATTAAAGAATGTAGGCCTTTACTATTCAGATTATGATTAGGATTCCTGATGCTATAAATAGGGGATTAGAAAGCATTAGGACCCTTACCACCCATATTTATATTACACGAAAGTATTCCCAAGGGATTCCCCACCACCAAGCCTAGGGAGATCAATCGGATGGAAATCTTAGGGAAGAACCTTAATAGCCAAGGGAGGATTAATTAAGGCTAAGAGGTAACCCATGTCTCAACAAAACCTATTTTCCTTGCTATAATCTTCTTCTTTGGCTCCATTGATATGCAATTCTATGCTTGTGACTTGATAAAGCTTTTATGACGATTATGATATAATCTTGACATTTATGAGATGATCTTATGTGTTGATCATGATAATCTTGATGATTAGGAGGGAATCTTGATAATTGTCTGTTGATCTTGATATTCTTGATGTTCTTGATTTTAAAGATAAAGTTATGATCTTGTGATTTAAATGTGATTAGAGCCCTAGGATAAATCATGGATTTCATATTGTGATATTCTTGGTATATTCGGGTGAGATTTCTTATGTTCGGGTATTGAGTCTTGTTTATGTCTAGAAGTCATGTTAGGATGTATGTAACGTGATTCTTGGTTTTAACCGTTGCTTGATTACGTGGTGTTGTCGTTTGAGTTTAAATGTGTCTGGACATAGTTTCGGGTTCCACGAAAGATCCCGGGAATAAAATATTACAAAAGAGTCAGTGGGGGTAGGGGAACCCGCCACCTACCCGCTGCCCCATTTGGTGTCGCTGGCAGCGGGCAGCCGGCGGGCAGGCGATTACCCGTCGGGCACCCGCTGCCCAGAAGAGGGCAGCCGACGGGTGGTCCTCCACCCGCTGGTTTTTCCCAGTGCGGATGATGGTTTTTCCCGTTTGATGTTTCCCCGTTCCCCGTGTTGTCCCAACGGACCTCGTTTGTCGTGCTTGAGTCTAGTTTGATGTTTCGGGTACTATTCGTAGGGTAAAAGAGTCTTGTGTATTGCATGCTAGTTGAATTAGTATCCCGTTGGCCTAGGTGAAAGATGTATGAACCCCTTAGGAATATTCCTAGTATGTGGATGACCACGCATAAGTTTTATTTATACGTTTTCCCCCTTCCCAATAAGCTAATGTGGGTTGCATGTTCTTGCTATGTGTTATGTGTGCATGATACCCCAATTTGGTTGCGATCAAATTGGCTATACGGGTAGTTGGATGGGTTGAGAACCATCGGCTGTTAACCAGGCCGGTTGCGATCGGTCAGGTATATAAATATTATATAGGGCTGCGGTCCACCGTTTGGTTGCGATCAAACGTTATAAATGAGCTGCGGTTCATAATCTGGTTGCGATCAGAAATACACTTTTTGGGCTGCGGTCCACCGTTTGGTAGCGATCAAACGTTATGATGAGCTGCGGTTCATCAGTTGGTAGTGATCAACCCCTTCGTGCTGCGATACGAGGCAGGGTGCTTCGGGGCCGTGTTAGCGCTATATGCGCTGACCCTCATGTATGGGCATGCGATTGGTCCTGCGGTACCACCAAAGTGTGCTTATGTGTTGAGATAATGATTGAATAATGATACGAATGATGTGAAATAATCTTGTGACCTTAGGGTGTATGCTAGTACCTTTATATGCATGATTATAACTGATAAATGTGCTTATCCTTAACTGTTGAGTCTATTCTCGGTTTTAAAGCTAGAGTCTCCTAAGTATATATCTTCCGGCTTCAAAACGGTTTTCCTATATATATATATATATATATATATATATATATATATATATATATATATATATATATATATACCCATATTGTATTTTAACGCGTTGGAGTGGGTTACCAGCATTATTCGCTGAACAGATATATTTGGCTTTTAGGCACAGATGAGTAGCTCCGGAGCATGCTAAGGGACCGAGGCTTAGTTAGCTAGTTTCCCTTTCGGCCTACGTGCCATGATGATGTAATGACATTGGTTTGAGGATGATTAGATAGTTTTGCCTGTGCATCTGAGTTCTCCAGCTCAGATGTGGCATAGCACCCCAAACACTTATGTTTAGTACGCTATGTTTTGTGATTTAGTGATAGTTCTAGCTTTATTTCATAAGAATTCAAAGTTTCAAATTTTAGTGGTGTTACAGATGGTATCAGAGCCTAAGTTTGACCATAGGATAAGACTCTTAAGACAAGACTTTAGGACATTAAGCTTGAACTCTAGGTATTTAGGAACATAGGATTTAGGAAACTTAGGACGTGCGGTGAGATTGTGGGTTTACCTATCATTACATGCCTAAACTTTCCCCTCACTCTATTATGCACTTAATTTAAAGAATCCCCCATAATTGTCGTATCAAGGTAAGGATGCAAATCCCTAACTTACCATTACGATCAGTGCTGATCCTGTAAACGCCGAAATTACGCCAACAAAGAACTAGTCGAGAACCCCCGAGCCTCCTACCCAAAAGTCGTTAACCTAAAAACCTACAACAGTGGACCCAGGGCGCCCAGACGATAAGCAAAGCCATCCTTACTAAACAACAACCGACCACCCTCGAACGGCAACCTAGACGTGGCTCGCCAAGTCTCGAGCCATCGCCCACCTATCTTCACAGAGGAAGAAGATCCTACGACCCTCGAAGAATGGATCCGAACGTTCAACCAGATCTTTGAAGTAGTAGAATGCCCGGAAGGACGCCATGTGGAACTAGCCTCCTTCTACTTCAGACATAAGGCTGATCTTTGATGGGTTCACGAGGGACCTACCTATAGGCAAGAACTGGGATTCAGCTGGGAAACCCTGAAGGCTCGGTTATGGGGATGTTTTGACCCCGCCCATACAAAGACAACCCTGTACGTGGAATCCCTCCGCCTGAAACATGGATAACTACAGTGGGGGAATACCACAAAAAAATCCCTTCGCTAGCTCGTTTCGCGCCTGAATTGGTGACCATAGAGGCAACTAAAGTAGAGGAGTTTGTAGCAGGTCTCAACTTTGAAACTGTTAGGAATAAAGTGTAATGATTTTGATATGCCAAATTTGTATTTGTAGATCCCCCAATTTTATTTATAGGTCTAGTAGAGTCTTAGACCGTGATCGGGAAATTATTTAAATTAAAAAAGAGAAAAACAGAGGAAGATGTATGAAAATAGAAGAAGAAGATATAAAGCCTAAAATCAAGAATTTGTCTGGAGAAAATGACAAATTGAAGAAGAAGATGAATGATACAATAATTCAAGTCAATGCTACTCAAAGAAGATATCCCAGAAGAATTTTCGTGAAGAAAATTAATATTGGAAGAATGCATGAAATTGACTTGGAGATCAAGCATCTATGTAAAGAAAGGAGTACATCAAATGTGATTGGAGATTTAATCAAAAGCTGTATGGACGAAGTGGATGGTGCTTGATATGTTATGTGAAATAGCTCAAGTTCGAAACTTATCATCAATAATTTTACAAGGTAAACTTTGAGAAGCCAAATTAAATTAATCTACCAGGAGAAGTCTGGGAGCCAATTTTGAAGTCAAAGTCAACAATTCAAATTGGGAAGCAATTGAAAGCACAGGAGAAGTCTGGGAGCCAATTTCGAAGTCAAAGTCCAATTGGGAAGCAATTGAAAGCACAGGAGAAGTCTGGGAGCCAATTTCGAAGTCAAAGTCAACAATTCAAAATTGGGAAGCAATTGAAAGCACAGGAACAGTTTGAGCCAATTTCGAAGTCAAAGAAGTCAAAGTCAACAATTCAAAATTGGGAAGCAATTGAAAGCACAGGAACAGTTTGGGAGTCAAAGTCAACAATTCAAATTGGGAAGCAATTGAAAGCACCAATTTCGAAGTTAAAGTCAACAATTCAAATTGGGAAGCAACAATTCAAATTGGGAAGCAACAGTTTGGGAGTCAAAGTCAACAATTCAAATTGGGAAGCAATTGAAAGCACCAAGTCAAAGTCAACAATTCAAATTGGGAAGCAATTGAAAGCACCAATTTCGAAGTCAACAATTCAAATTGGGAAGCAATTGAAAGCACCAATTTCGAAGTCAAAGTCAACAATTCAAATTGGGAAGCAATTGAAAGCACAGGAACAGTTTGGGAGTCAAAGTCAACAATTCAAATTGGGAAGCAATTGAAAGCAACAATTCAAATTGGGAAGCAATTGAAAGCACCAGGAACAGTTGAAAGCACCAGGAACAGTTTGGGAGCGTGATTCCCCGTTCAGTTTATTTAATTGAATCACGCGTCGTAAACATATACCACAAGACTTCTTGGGAAGAATTCTTTTTTAAATTGTTTTGATTTTGAATAAGGAGTTAATAAGAATAATGAGATGGGCTAACCAATAGAAAGATAAAGCAAATATTCATTGATAAGAAGTATGATATTAAGTGAAGGAAAATCAATTTTAGGAAAAAGGTCCTTTATATTTATTTCCTTTTGAATATCAACGTACTTTTTTTTTGCTATTACTCTAGGTCGTATATGGCATAGTTGTTTATTTCCCCAATTCCCTAAGTGAACTAATTATCTTGAGGATGCAAGCGTTATCCGGAATGATTGGGCGTAAAGCGTCTGTAGGTGGCTTTTTAAGTCCGCCGTCAAATCCCAGGGCTCAACCCTGGACAGGCGGTGGAAACTACCAAGCAATTCAAATTGGGAAGCAATTGAAAGCACCAATTTCGAAGTCAAAGTCAACAATTCAAATTGGGAAGCAATTGAAAGCACAGGAACAGTTTGGGAGTCAAAGTCAACAATTCAAATTGGGAAACAATTGAAAGCACCAGGAACAGTTGAAAGCACCAGGAACAGTTTGGGAGCCAATTGCAAGTCAAAGTCAATTGGGAGCCAGTTTGGGATCCAATTGCAAGTCAAAGTCAATTGGGAGTAGCCAATTGCAAGTCAAAGTCAATTGGGAGCCAATTACAATGGAGAAATTCAAATTGGGTGCCAATTACAAGCCAATTCAAATTGGGTTCAAATTGGGTGCTAATTACAAGCCAATTGGGTGCCAATTACAAGCCAATTCAAAACAATTCAAATTGGGAAGCAATTGAAAGCACCAGGAACAGTTTGGGAGCCAATTGCAAGTCAAAGTCAATTGGGAGCCAATTACAATGGAGAAACAATTACAATGGAGAAATTCAAATTGGGTGCCAATTACAAGCCAATTCAAATTGGGTGTCAATTACAAAGGAGAAATTCAAATTGGGTGGAAGTTCAAAGCCAGTTTGAAGTCTGAGAACACCCAGACGTGAGAATGAAGAAGATGAAGATGAACTTACAGTAAATATATTCTCACAAGGAAAAATACTAGTTTAACTAGTATGGGATTAAATTAATGAATATTTTTAAAATCCCAAAGATACAAGGACCACTTCAGAGCTAATCAGAGAAGCCATTCTACACCAAAACTGAGACCCAGATATTCCCACTCAACGTTAAACCAGAGGAATATCAGATGAAGTTTGGGAGCTCATTTACGTGGAGATGAAACTCCATCAACGGCTAGCTTATCTCTTTCTGACATTTTTGCAGAAGATAAGATAAGATCTCTGACAAAAGATACAAGATTTCAAAAATGAGAGCGTCTCTTTCCAACGGACAGATTCTCATTACCAGCTATAAAATGATGAAGATATGAAGACTTGAAGATGGGGAACACACGAACAAGAGAGCAGAAAATTCGAAACTCACCAAAGAGATCGAATAGAGCAATTAAGCTTGAAAGAGCATAGAGCAAAAATCTCATTTGGTACAGAGCATACCGAAAATCTTCAAGTGAGAAGTGTGAAAAGAAAAAGAACTCAGAGAGCTTGAAAGAAAATATTCTGAGAGTTCTTAAACAGAGCAAAGCAGAGCAAAAATATCAAGTGCTTTACTTGATATATTCAAAGAGAGAAAACACTCAGAGCTATCAAGAGAAATCATTCCAGAGTGTTAATCTTCATCAAAGAGACCTGCGCATCATTGAAGATTATCTACAGAGTCTCAGAAGTTGGAAGCAAGACAACACTTGTTTTGGGGCAAAATAAGAGAAGGGAGGAAAGTAGCACGGAGCTGTGAAATCCTAGATTATCACACGGAGCTGTGAGATCCGAAGCAGCAGTGTCGGAGGCACTGGGCGTGATTGGTGTGGGCTTGGTGATCAAAGCACCAGATCACGGGATACATTTCTACCGGAGTGTGGAAGACGGGGGGAAAGTAACGCGGAGTCGTGAAATCCTGGGATAGTAGCGCGGCGACGTGAAACCCGAAGCAGCAGTGTGGTGTCACTGGGCGTGATTAGTGCGAGCTTTGTGATCAAAGCACTAGATCACGGAAATTCATTGTATCTCGGAACCAAGAAGTGGTGGATATAGTGAATTGCTCTTGGAGATAAGAGCAAGTGGAGTAGGAGGATTACACCACCTCGCGAACCACTATAATTGTCTTGTGTTCTTTACTGCTTTCTTTACTTACTGCTCTTTACATATTTGCTCTACACGAGATATACTGCTCACACAATCTCACACACACTTTAGGTTTATTTATTTCCGCTGTGCACCATACTCTAACAATCTAGTTAAGAGTTTTGGTTTATCTCTGGCTTAGCAATTGTTGTGCTGTGCGAAAAAGTTTGAAAGTCTATTCACCCCCCCTCTAGACTTTCACCTTACCTCTTTTGGGACCAACAATTGGTATCAGAGCCAGGTTGTCTATTTAGGCCAATTTGCTATCTAAGCACGTGCCTAACTGGGTCAACCGTTTCTGACTGCTAGACAGATCCATTCTACAAAGTGTGTGAATTGGATTAATCTTTCATATCTCTCGTGATGATGATGAAGAAAGATTTAGCTCAAAATCTATTATTCTCACTTGATAAATTTGATGATTGGAAAGTTCGTATGCAGGTACACTTATCGGCTTTACACGATGAAATGTGGGAAGTTATTTCCACTGGTCCTATCAAAATATTAAAAGTCAATACGGCGTTTGTCCTATCCCCGGATGCTCTACAGTACGTACAAAAGCCTAAACCGGAATGGACATCGGACGATAGAACGCGGAATAATCTTGACAATATTGCCAAGGATATTCTATTCAAAGCCGTTGATGATACAATATTTCCGAAGATCCGAAAGTGTGCCACTGCCAAAGAAATATGGGAAACTCTCATCAAGATTGGCGAAGGAGATGAACAAGAAAAAGACAATAAGCTCACAATCGCCATGAAGAAGTTTGAAGATTTCAAAATGCTCTCAAATGAAAGTATTGCAGACATGGAAGCTCGAATGATCAAAGTTCTTGGAGAGATTAGTGATCTTGGCAAAAATATTAGCCAAAAAGAAATTAATCTCAAAATCCTACGAGGCTTGCCATCTGCATGGGATATGAAGGTTACGGCTATGCGCGATCACCGAGATCTAAGAATGTTGTCAACAGACAAATTATTTAGTGATCTAAAAGCATATGAGTTCGAAATGAAGGCCAAAGATGATGATGTTCATGAAGCTCGAAATGCTGCTCTAATGGCCGAACAACCGTCAACCTCCAGGTCAGTAGAAAATAATGTTGATTTTATGACTGACGAACAGTTTGCTCTTTTTGTTAAAAGATTTAAAAGGTTTATGCGAAAAGGAGACAACAAAAATTCTGCTCGTGGAAAATTCATCTCTCGCATAACACAAGAAGAAAAAGTCGAAGAAAATAAGGATTTATGCTACAATTGCCGCAAACCCGGACATTTTAAAATAAATTGTCCATATCCGATCGTTAGCAAGTATCAAGGCAAAAATGTTGAATCTACGCCGAACAAATCCTAAAGCAAAAGGTTCAAGCGCGACAAAAGAAAAGCTCTCGTTAGCAACGAACCAAACGAAAATGATGATTCAGAGGATTCATCATCAAGCGATGAAAGTTCATGTTCGGATGATGATACGACGCTAGTATGCAAGTCAATTGAGTTGAGTACAAGTGAAGATTGTCTTATGGCTCTTGAAGCAGAGGAAGAAGAGGTAACATCTAATTCTTTCAATTCTGTTAATTCTTCTTTTTCTCGTGAATCAATTGACTATCTAATGAGAGAATGTCAAGAGATTATGCTCACTCATCCTCAACTCAAGAAGCGCAATAATATTTTATTTCTTGAAAAAGAAGAAACGAATAAAAAATTGCAAGATGCTGTACTTGAAGTGAGTAAATTGAAAAATGAAAATATTCATCTTCAAAAAGAGTGTAAAGCTAGAGAGGTTAGAGAACATAATCTTAGAGCTACTATTGCTACGTTCACTAATTCGTCTAAAATAATAGATAAAATGGTGAGCATGCAAAAGCCATCAGGAGATAGAACCGGAATTGGTTATGACTCCACATGTTCTCAAACCCCTCAAAATCTGACTAATTCTACTACAACTTTAAATAATAATGTTCAAGTGGTAAAATTTGTTAAAAGTCAGAATAGCACAATGAGACAAGGACTTGGCTATCAAACAAAAGCAAAATTGAATGTTGAAAGGCCGAAACAATTTAATTATACGGCAAAGCAACAAAAATTCTACAAGCAAAGATATGCCAAAGAGTCAAGTGCAAAAAGATTTCATAGAAAAGAGGGAAGCTTTTCTAGAAATAAAGTTGGGAAATTTCATCCCACTCAAAAAGATTGGTTGTGCAATAGATGTAATATTTTTTATAGACCAAAGCAACCATTCTCTTCCCAGGTGCCAAAATATAAAAATAATTTTCAAAACCCGGCGCCAAAAATATTTTCTAATGTGAGTTATGATTATCGTGTCTCTAATAGTTACAAATCGCCTCATCTTAATTCAATAAGATCAAGGTGGGTTTGGTTACCAAAAATCACTAACAGTAAAGGACCCAAGCAAGTATGGGTACCTAAAGTTAATTAATCTTTTTTTGCAGGATGTTTGGTACATCGATAGTGGTTGCTCACGTCACATGACTAGAAATAAATCATATCTAGTGAATTTCAAAGAAATCGATGGACCAAAAGTTATATTCGGAGGAAATCAAAATTATGGAATTACAAAGGGATTTGGCACGATCAAGAAAAATGGCTTGAAGATTGAAGATGTGTCTTTCGTTGAAGGCTTAAAATTTAATTTGTTGAGCACTAGTCAATTTTGTGATAAAGGCTATCTTGTAGAATTTTCTAAAGATAATTGCCTAATAAAAAATGAGCTCACAAATGAGATTGTTCTTTCTGGAAAAAGACGAAAGAATATGTATGTTGTTGATTGGAGCACTAGCAAAGAATCAGTGTGCTTAATGACCAGAAATTCAAATGAAGCTAAATGGGAATGACACAGAAAGCTCAACCACTTAAACTTCAAGACCATCAATCAGCTTGCAAAGAAAAATCTAGTAGAAGGCTTGCCAGATATTATCTTCAAGAAGGACCAAGTGTGTGATGCATGCCAACGCGGAAAGCAAATCAAATCATCATTCAAATCAAAGACACACGAGTCAACGTCAAGACCGCTAAGCTTACTACATATGGACTTATTTGGACCGGTTGATCCAATAAGTGTAAGTGGTAAGAAATATACTCTCGTTGTTGTTGATGATTTTTCTAGGTACACTTGGACCGTGTTTCTCAAGAAGAAAAATGAAGTTGAGCAAGTTCTACCGAAGCTGTTGAAGCAACTACAAAATGAGAAAGAATTGCAAATATCAAAAATACGAACGGATCGCGGAACCGAGTTCGTGAATGGAGTTATACAAGCTTTTTGCAATTCACATGGAATTTCTCATCAATTATCTGCCGCAAGAACACCGCAACAAAACGGTGTTGCCGAAAGAAGAAACCGGACGCTCAAAGAAGCCGCACGAGTGATGATAAGTGCTGCCGGTCTCCCGAAACGATATTGGGCGGAAGCTATCAACACTGCTTGTTACACGCAAAATCGAAGCATGATCCATAAGCAGTACAAGAAGACGCCATATGAGCTATATAAAGGGAGAAAACCAAATATTGGTTATTTTCATATTTTTGGATGCAAATGTTTTATTCATATTAATGATAAATTGCATCTAAAAGCTTTTGATGAGCGTGCAGATGAAGGAATTTTTCTAGGATATTCAGCTACCAGCAAGGCATTCAGAGTTTTGAATAAAAGATCAATGGTGGTTGAAGAATCAATACACGTGGTATTTGATGAAAAATCATAGATCAAAAATGATGCACTGGACGAAGAAATTGTATAAAATGGTAACAAGTGTCAATTTGATTTTTGTAATACTAATGATACGTGTGAAGATGATGTTTTGCAGGGAATGGATGAGTTGGAAATTAATTCTCTAGAAAATCCCATCCCTCATCTAGAAGAAGTTGGAAATTCTTTTAATAATAATTTTGGGAGTGATGCCTCACGTGGGAATGGGGATGCAGTACGGGTTCCAGTTTGTGATCAAGTTGCATGTGAAGTTGGTAATCAATTTCAAGAAGAATTAAACAATGAAATTCAAACCAACACTGGCAGTTCACAACAAATGGATCCACCCAGTACCATGCACCCATTTGAACCAGATTTAAGATGGCTCAAAAATCACCCTCCAGAATTAATTATTGGGAATATCCATGAAGGCGTGAAAACAAGATCGTCTACCATGGAAGCATTGTTCACGTGTTATCTATCTCAGATTGAACCAAAAGAAATCGACGAAGCTCTCAATGATCCGGATTGGATAAACGCTATGCAAGAAGAGCTCGATCAATTCAAAAGAAATGATGTTTGGGAACTTGTTCCAAGACCGGCGAATCACAATGTTGTAGGAACCAAATGGGTCTTCCGGAACAAAGCAAACGAAGAAGGCGTGATTGTTAGGAATAAAGCAAGGCTCGTTGCAAAAGGATACTCTCAAGAAGAAGGAATAGATTTTGATGAAACTTTTGCACCGGTGGCCCGACTCGAAGCAATCAGAATTTTCCTAGCCTACGCCGCACACAAAGATTTCACCGTTTATCAAATGGACGTGAAAAGTGCATTCTTGAATGGTCTACTCGAAGAAGAAGTTTATGTCGAACAACCCCCAGGTTTTGAGGTAAAAGGCGAAGGTGATAAAGTCTACAAACTTAAAAAGGCATTGTATGGGTTGAAACAAGCACCTAGAGCTTGGTATGATACTTTGTCAATGTTCTTGATAAGCTGTGGATTCACCAAAGGCCTTGTTGACAAAACTCTATTTAGAATTCAAGATGGTGATCATATTGTATTAGTGCAAATATATGTTGATGATATTATTTTTGGAAGCACTAACAATTCTTTGTGTGAGAAATTTTCGAAGCTTATGCAGAATAAATTCGAAATGAGCATGATGGGTGAATTGAATTACTTCTTGGGCTTACAAGTGAAACAACTGAAAGAAGGAGTATTCATCAATCAAGCAAAGTACACCCGCGACTTGATAAAGAAGTTTGGCCTTGATGGAAAATCATCGATCAAAATTCCAATGAGCACATCAATAAGGCTAGACAAAGATGAAGATGGAAAGGATGTCGATCAAACAAAATATAGAGGAATGATTGGTTCACTTCTATATCTTACTGCAAGTAGGCCGGACATTTCTTATGCTGTGGGCGTGTGTGCAAGATTCCAAGCAAATCCAAAAGAAAGCCACCTCACCGCAACAAAGAAGATCATACAATATTTCAAAGGCACAATCAATGTTGGATTGTGGTATCCAAAAGGTACAGATTTTACTCTAACGGGTTTTTCAGATGCGGATTTTGCAGGTTGCAAAATAGACAGAAAAAGCACTTCCGGGACATGCCAGTTCTTGGGGGGAAGGCTTGTTTCTTGGTTCAGCAAAAAGCAAAATTCCATCGCAACTAGTACCGCCGATGCCGAATATATTGCTGCAGGAAGCTGTTGTGCGCAAATTTTATGGATGAAGCAACAATTGAAGGATTACGGAATTAATTGTGATGACGTTAGTATTTATTGTGATAATACTAGTGCAATCGCTATCACTCACAATCCGGTGCTTCACTCAAGAACCAAACATATCGACATTCGACATCATTTTATAAGGGATCACGTTGAAAAGAAAAATCTGAAGATCGAATATATCCCTACAGAAAACCAAGTTGCTGATATTCTCACGAAGCCTTTATGCGAAACGAGATTTTCTACCTTAAGGCACGAGTTGGGAATGATCGAAATGAGCTAAGTATCACTGAACTTAATCTCTCTATTTAAATTGATACTTGTGCTCAAAATAAATTGTTTTATATGAATAAATTGTTTTATGTGTTTATATGTTTGTTTTTACTCGAAATTTTTATGTGATAAAATTGCAATATGTGTTAGGATCTTATTTGTGTATTTGCATGTATTATTTAACGTGAAATCATATGCCATGCAAATTAATTTGATGAAATGTGAAAATCGTGATTTATTTGTTAATTTGTTTAAAATTGCATGTTTTAACGTGTTAATCAGTTTGGAGTATGTGTTCATGTTTCTGTAAATTAACTAACTTGTTTGCATGAACAATTAGCTCTAAAAATGATTTACCATGTTTGTTTAATAATATATATATATATATATGTGTTATGCGCAAAATGTGATTTAAAGTGTTATTTGTATATGTGTTTCGTATATATGCAGTATATGTGATATAATTTGCCATAAAATGTTTTAGAAATCTAGAAGTTAATATTTTTGTTAGTTTCTAAATTTTTTTTGGAATCTGATTAATGTGTTTTTTATATAAAGTTGTTTCTAATTATAATTTAGGAATATGTGTGTTAATTTTGTTAGTTTCCAAAATGTGTTTAATTTTTGATTGGAAATTACCGTGTATGAGTTTAGTATAATTGGTATGTGTGATTAATTATTTGTGGAGTAATTTTTGCTACTAACGAGATGTTTGAGTGATATTATGTTTGTGGTACACGAATCTGAAGAAGGAAATCAGGAGATAAAGGAGGAAAATTAGAGTTTAATTGGACATCAAACCTCCACCCATAAACTCCTACCCAACCTAAACCTCCCCCCATAATCCTCTCCTATATCAACACCCTTCCTAACCGATTCTCTCTCTCTCAAATCGGCACCCCATACCTTCTCTCAGCTTAATAATATCAATCGTCTCCCACAGAGCAATTAAAACCTAACCCCTCATTAAACTCTCCCCTCTAGACCGTTGCCCATCAAATCTCTTCCGATCCACCGCCATCTTAGCCAATGAGAAGTCTTGCCGCTATCCATCACATCCGTAAACTCTAAACGACGGCAAGAAGAATTAACTCTCCATCGGCAAGTGAACCGATTACACTCCTGACCGCCCTATATATTGGGAGACAGCCGAGACATACCTGTTGTGGAAGATTTTGTTGTTTGAATTTTTGCAGGTGCAAGATGGTGTCCAGCGAGTCTTAGGAAAACGAGATAAGGAAGCAAAGGCAGAGAACCTGGGAGAAAGTTCTCACACAACCCCGAAGGGCAACACGCACGGACGGACGAAAGATGGCAGGAGAAACACCAAGCAACCCTCTGGTGTTAATATCTGATGAAAGGGAGCAAGAAAATGAGTCGCCACAAATTCAAGCAGTTGCAGAATCACCACAGCGTGAACCGGGCTTTATCTATGAAGAAGATGATGGTGCCAAGAAACCATTGGCAGAACAAGACCGAATGGAAGGGTCTGAGCCTCCATTCATGAAGTTCTCTCCAGTTGTTCAACCTGATATGTATGCTGAAATTCTGAATATGAGCAATTCAGAATATCTCCAGTATTTAAAACAACTGACTTTTGGACCGGTTCTACCTCCTTCCGGTTTCGGTTTTGATGGGCTCTATCAACCTCCTCCTCCACCAGAGCCTCTCCCGAAGTTTCCACCAAGTCTGCCAGTTCTTGCACCACTGCCACAAGAAATCCCTGCTCCTCCACCGCCTCCTCAGCAGATGCCACTCAACCCGTTCATCCGTCCTCGAGTGGACTTTACTAGGTTTTTTAATCAAACCTATTCATCTTCAAGCTCAAACGGGTCAATGTTCGAGGAAAGTGAGTCCAGTGGTGACTCAGGACCAGGATATGCTCCTTCACTGCCAGGAGGCTATGACTCAGAAGATTGCATGAGTACTGGTTTCTCTGCTTGTTGAACAAATGTTATGTTATCTCTCTCTCTCTCTCCTTCTCCCTAAGAAGGAGATGAATAAAATTATGGTTATTTTGTGCTTCTAGCTATCTATATTTTCTCTCTGTCTCTCTCTCCTACAAAATGAAAAATCTCTACGTATATAAAAAGATCAAAAGTTTCGTAGCCAAAAAGACACACAAAAAATATATGAATAAAAATAAAATAAAAAGGAATTAAAAAAAAAAGTTTGAAAGTCTATTCCCCCCCCCCCCCCCCCCCCCTCTCTAGACTTTCACCTTACCTCTTTTGGGACCAACAATTTGCAGTCCTCAACATTGCCCTTGTTCTTTCCAACAAGGTTCTGTTCATCCGCTCTGCCACTCCATTTTGTTGTGGAGTATACGCCACCATGAACTGTCGTTTGATACCTTCTTGCAAACAGAATTTACCAAATTCATCACTAGTATATTCTCCTCCATTGTCCGACCTCAAACACTTGATCCGTTTCTCGGATTCAAGTTCCACACGCGCTTTGTTGGGAAAAATCCCACCACCTGTGACAAATAAAATCAAAGGACCGACAAGAGCGCAAATACGAGATGGTGCAAACCAGCCAAAATAAATATCTGACACAAGGGACACAAGATTTACGTGGAAAACCCCAAAACCACGGGGAAAAACCACGGACCACCACCAACACAATATTCTACTATAACAAATCTTGGGTACAAAGTTGCTGGCTACTACCCGAGCCAAACACCCTAAAAATCATCAAATACAACAACTAGGCCAAATACAATATATCACGTTCACAATCTTAAAAGGGGTACCAACTCGTACTCAAAATATTCAGTCACCACGAACAAGGTGAAAAGAATACAAATATTACGAGCTTACCCAAAACGATGATGCCTGGAACAAACACTGACCTCTACAAATATTTGATGAAGAAAAGTACCCCAAAGATCTCCGACAAACTCACGGCAAATTCATCAGACGTGCGACAAAACCTGCCGACAAACGCCGCCGCCGTGCCACCAAAGAAGCTAGGCAAACCCACGATAAAGTAGCACAAAAAGAAGAAGAAATAGATGTTGCTCCTTCAACTGCTGCATATGGTCGTGAAAAGAGAAAGAAAGAAAAACTGAATTTTTCTTTCTTTTTGGCCTACTGCTTCTGCCGAAAAGAAAAGGAATAAATGTGTAATGTGTAGAAGTGTCTGATGTAGTGGTGTAGTGGTGAAGAAACAATGAATTCTCCATCCTTTTATAGATGCAGGCAACCACCTTGGGAAATGAAGAAAGCTAATTAATTCCTCAACTTCCTCCCACAAACCTTACGAAATCTCCTCCCATAAACCTTTGGAAACCTCTTCCCATAATCCTTAGGAAATCTCCTCCCATAAACCTTAGGAAACCTCTTCCCAAGTTCCCTTAGGAAATCTCTTCCCAAGTTCATCCCAAGCAAACTTCTGCCCAACAACTTCATCCCAACATCCACTCTTTAACTTCTACCCAATAACCCATTCTCCAACCCAAATAATTGTCAGC